TTGTAGGTACTATAAATTTTTATCCACTGGATTAAAAAAAAAGAATTGCCGTTCGACAGTTACACCTTTTTTAGTGCAACTTGCCCGGCAATCAACGTCGTTGAAAGACAAGAAGTTTTAACCGCCAGCTGGATCCCTTGGTGCATCGACGGTACCCATGTTTGAATAACTGCCCCTAACGAAAATGAACCGGACTTCGTGAACCGGACTTCGTGAACCGGAGAGGATTTCACTCCATCAATGTCCAAGCAATCTGCGACCATCGAGGTAAGGAAATATGTCTAGCTCTGATTATTGGTTTAGCCAAGGGCAGCACGTCTGTTTAACCCCAAGCTTTACTGTGGATACTATCTCGTGTCTATAACAGGAGTTATCTGATCCCAAATGTGGGCATGAAATCCGTGAGGAAATTTCGCATCCAGTGTGTAACGCTTTTCTGTCACGTTAGGGGCAGTGTGCGAGAGATTGGCTTGAGTATAACATGTGATCAAACGTGTGATGACGAGATTCAAGCACATACAATTTACGATGTGAACAACTGAATGAAATTGATTCAAAATGGTTGAGTTTTCGAACTGTGTGACAACCTGTTTAATTCTATAGCTCTCAGGTGTAATCGATTTTGTTTGCAAACGAGTATCGAGTCTTCAAATAGTGACATGACAGCAATGAAAATATTCTTCGGCGATCACTGAATGTGTTCTCCAGCATGGACATTTTGCAGTGGACTGGATTCGTTTGAATGCAGGAGCAAAGCATTACAGAGCATTCTCTTACAGAGTAGCATTATTTATTAACGTGTAATTTGTCGTTGCTCAAAGATACAGGCCAAGGAATACACTTGAAAGAAACAGAGACACTCATGATAGGCTTTTTGCGATCCTACATTTTATTAGCAGAATAACTCTGTAATTTCTATGAAAAAAATTTTGTTCAGACTCAAAACTGTTGGCCTAGTTAAGTTTGCCACTACATGTATAGAGAGTTTAAAGGCCATAACAATAAAAAATGTTAAGTTTTAAGACATTTAGACTTTGAAGACTTGTGTGGGAGAAATAAATTTTGTCCACCAGTAGCATTCCAATCTTTTTCATGCAAATATTATCCCAGAGTTTTTAAATCATCTGCCATATTTCTCATGCCCTTAGGATGCCTAATTTAACCTTTTATATTTCACCCAAAGATGAAGAAAAAATCGTGCTGATTTTTTTTTGGACTCGAGAAAGGAAAATTTCAGTGTAGAGCAAACAATTTGTACTTCTAAACAAAAGCATTGAGGTTCCACCTTTCAACCCTCAAATAACATCATTCACAATTGTGGCTTACAAGGATTGAGTGTAGCATATCAAATCCAAGTAATCACATGTGTATAACTCTGCGAAGTGTTAAACGAACTCGTCAAGAACTTTGTGGCTACCGTTTCATTTCCGGTTTTACGTTACGTAACGTGTCACGTTACGTGTCACGTTACGTGTCACGTGACAATCTCTGGGGGTTTGGACGTGCTTTGACATTTGGGAGAGAGTTTTACCTTCGTGTAACTGTTTTGGTTTGCAAAACAGTTCTTTAACGTCATTGTGGTTGTGATCATTATTGTTATGTGATGGTTATTACGATTTCCCTTTTTTGTACGTTATCTTGTAACGCTACACAAGGAATAAAGGCATAAGCCACAAGCTTCTGACTACGATGTAAACAGCGTGTGATTGACAGAGACCAACGTTGCATACAAAATCAGTTAAAACGAATCGCGTGCTGTAAGCTTAGTAGTGAATCGTATGGCGTCAACCGTATACCGGTTCGAACTGAAATACAAAAACGAAAATAGAAGCTAACGTAACTAACATATCGAAGATAAAATAATACAAATGCAGGAACTATCGCTAACATTGCAATAACGACCGTAACATGGAAGTGTCAAATATAATCGGCACTTATATTGACCGTAAGGAAGGCTGGTAAACGATTAAGAAGCTACACGGACGATAGCTTTATGTTAAATAACCCTCTGTTGGAGATATGGACCTAATCAAGCACGATTCCAAGCATACAAAAAACCATCAAACCGATTTAATAACGATATAGGCCATTTGATAAGTGATAAAGTGAGACTTGACTGAAACGAATAACAATAGAAAAGGCCTAAAAACCAGGAATCGATTACTTACTTGGTTTGCACTCGCACTGAATTTGACTTGGTGGAATAGATGAGTAACAGCGTAGAGAGAAACTATGGTCCAATGCCGAGTAGAAGTTGACGCACTGGAATCTACACTTGAACTCATCTAACCAGGTAAAACCTCGTGAATATATCTAAAAAAACACCACGTAAGCTAAGCTCAGCGATAATTACTATTTCCTGACTGAAATAGTAGCTGAGGGCTGGTCAACCACAGCAGATCAATTAAGTGAGTAGGGCCTTGTTTGAACTTGACAATCATTTGATAACATCTACGGTATAGTAAGTTCCTGTGACAGGAACTGAATTGACGACACGAGTTTTGTCACGTGACTCTTGATGTAAACAAACCCCGAAAGTTGGGACATTGAGTCGAGCTCGCAACTTCTGCTTTGGTAATTTTTCTTAAATAACTTCTCACTTTCAAGATGCGTTTCTTTGCTCAAAATTGACATCTTTCTTTTATCATTTATTTGATTGTTTATCAAGCAAGTTGTGATTTCGCTGCCGTTGAAGTTCTGTTAGGAAATTAGCGCCCACGAATTGCTGTAGATCGTGAGGAAGCCTTGATTCCCAAAACGTACCGATTTTTTTAAACTTCAGTAACGCAAGTGAGAAATTCTGCGAAACTCAGGTCGACCTTTAAGAGGACCGGAGTTAAACTTAAGAATAGCAGATCACAAAAGTAAAGCCGATTTAAACGCAATGAGTGTGGCAGAGCTTAAATAATATCTACAAGAGCGGGGTTTTCAGCGAGCGGATTCTTCATAACCTCGTTAGTGGAAATCGCCTCTGCAGTCATAAAAATCGTTCTGCCAGTGGACCCAAATTTCGAAAAAAACGACGCCACTGCTTTAGAAGAGGTAATAATTCAGGATATACTAATTCCCAATCCATTTTAGCTCATTCATGCTGAAATCAATGAATGAGGTGTTGTGGTGACGTAGTGATGACGGAAGTTGTTGACCGTAGACGGAAGTTGAATTGTGGACCGTGAACGGAAGTAGTCTCGCATGCTAA